CGGAAGGTTAAGCGTATACGCAATGCCCCGCTTGGCCCCAACCTTGAAAGGTTCACTAAACTGTGGACGGAGCTTCGTCTTAATGACAGCAGAAATTGCATGTGTAGGAAGGTTTCCAGTATTTGACAAACCAGGTCTCTGACCTCAAAGATTTTAACATTTCCTCAACCTCCTCCGTCTGTATATTCCGTCTGCATGCATTGGCTTTCAGCCATTGCATCGCGAACGTGTCGTAAGACACTTAGTTTGGTAGACAGAAAGTCATCGACCTCTTTACTAACAGTGAGAGGGCCCCAGCTGCCACTCGTAGAGCTCGCTCCGAACAATGCAGTTTATTTGTCTAACGGCTACACGCCGTTCTACGTGAACGGGCTCGTTCATCCTCGCGTCCCGGTGATGCCGCCATTCCATGGTTCACGGCTTGGTGGGGGTAGTAGAGCGGCACTCTGTCAGAGACAATTGACTCCGGATGTTGATGTTGTCGAAAGACACGATCCACAAAATGCGTCGCTGTACCGACACTGTCGATGGTGTCCAGCACCGCCGCACGATGAACCATCTTGCTCAAACGGTCCACAAAGACCACCACACCTGTGTTGCCCGCCGAGTCCTTCGGCAGACCAAATACAAAAGCCAAACTCATGGACTGCCAACACCCGAAGGGTATTAATATATTGGCCAGCGCCACCGCCATCGCCGATTTCGAAGAGGGTGTTGCTCTTTGACACGTCTCACACGTGCGCACATAGGGGCTCATCCATTAGCTTGGGTCACCAGTAGTGGCAGCTCACATAGCTGTAGGTCTTCTCACGACCGAGATGACCGCTGAATAGGGTGTCGTGGGCCTCATAGATGATGCAGTAGTTCAAAGCATCATCGTGAGGAATCACAATTCGTGGCGTATCCGTCGAATCGGTGCTATAATACAGCAATCCAATATTGAATGAATATCGGTGGAGCCGTGCGCACAGTCGCGACGACAACTTCTTCTCCGAGTTTACAAACTCCTTGCCCCCGAGAGCCCATAGCAGCGCCACACACGTATCATCGCCCGGGTACGCGGCGCTGATCAAATCCGTCATTGACGACGTCACCGGCGTGACATGAGCAAGCTCATAATATGGTCTGCGTGACAACCATCAGCCAAAGCATTCTGCTTTCCTGGCCTATACCTCACCTCGAAGCTATTCTCTGCGTGGAAGGAAGGCCGCCTGGTCATCTTCTGCAAGAGGTGAAGCGACTGAGTCGCAGTGCGTAGTGATGCATGATCTGTGTAGATCACGAACGGCTTGGAGC